ATGCCATTTGTTATTACATATGTTAATTTTGCATTTTTTTCTTCTTTCAGCGTTTGTGTGTTCCTTTCCTTTAAAAGCAAAGAATATCTTATATTCAGAGGCTGATACTACAAAGGTTAGTCTGAAATGTTTATAACATATTTCTGTTCGCCAATCAGCCTTCTTTCAGCACAATGAGGGCTAACATTAGAGGAAGAGTCTGTGAAGTTATAGTTTTACAATATGGAAAACAGAACCGAATACCGAAAAGTAGCATCATATAATGACTGATTTTAAAGATTCTATGGGGGCTGCACACTTTTGGCGAGACCTGCGAAGGATTCAGATACGAAGACATATTAGCCAATCACGTAGCACGAACAAAAGTCACCTCTAGAGGACGTTGTCATATGGTATTGTCATTGCGTTTCCTACAAAAACATCCTACCGCTCACTACGTCTTGTTCTTTTCCGCAAAGAAATTTAGACTGTCGAAATAAAGTCGTTTCTTGAAAACAACTGGGATTTCAGATTGTCATGCCTTACCCACATTGAGATACTTCTAGTTTCCATTTCCCCACGCAGGACACTTTGTTAAGTCTTGTATTTAGCAGGACTTTTTATTTATGGACTTACAAAAAGTTCTTGTTCATAACAAATGCTTTAGAACCAGACCTGTGTATGGGAGGTTTGGCCCCTTCTAGCGGCAAATGAATATTACTTTAATTGAACAAACTTTATGTAAATATGCGCTTTGTTGTAGAATTTAGATCCCCAGGTTAGTTCGAGAATAAGTTTGAGGAGGATTATTTCTTGATGTATTAGTGATTCGATACAGATCCTTAAAATCGAATGAATTAGCAAAAAAAGAGAGGCATAGTTGTTTGACTGAACTAAGCCGTAGAAACTTTATCAACAAAGAAGAAACCTGTGAAAAGCAAGAGTCTGTAAATTTCATATTTGCCTTAGCAAAACCTAATATTGGTCTTGGGTTTTTGTTTCTGTCATGAGACTTGACTTACGGCATGACGTCATTCTAGAGCTTTCGTCACAAAGTAATATCTCAATGCCTTCAGTTTATCTTTCGCAACGCCTTTTGTGAGCAAGGTAAGAGAAGGTTGTTGTTTCAGGCGCTTGGCTGACAAAGCATGGAAAGTTTGACGTGATCCTGTATCTTAATCACAAAAGGAAACCTGCCATAATCTATTTTCCCTTAGTTTTGTTTCCTTTGGATACGTTTTATTGACATAATGTATTTGTTCCAATCAAAAACATCAATGTTTTCTTTGTCACTTTATCTTTAGATCGCCTTTATTTAATTGTTTGGTGTTTCGTTCGCTTTGTAGTTTGTAAAATAAACATGCGAATTGTATCAAATTATTTAATTTACATGAACTGAATTAAATATGTCAAGCCCTTCTTAATAAATGCGAGGAAATGCCCGAAACTTTAAATAACCTGGGAGCAGTTGTTCAAAGAGCGGATAATATCCAATGAATAAGTGTTCACAAAACGTACTGCGCTATCCATCGGATAGAGACAGTGGGTAGCGCTATTCAGCCTTTGAACAACCGTGGCCTGTATTTTAAACACGCATTTCCTTTGCAAGGCTTTGATAGTTCATCGGTGTTCGGGACAAATTCCTCCTAAAACTAACTTTAGAGAAAGGTTTAGAAAGAAAGATTAAGGAAGCAAAATTAACTAACTAATCTAGAGCCATTTAAATACAGATTGTCTTCTAAAATTCCGGCCCGGTTGTTCGAAGGGGGGATAAAACTATCCGCTGGATAAACCTCTATCGCGTGGATAACGCTATACGTTTTGGTATCCACTGGATAGCGATTTATCCGTTGGACAGCGTTATACACCCTTTATGCAACTTGGCCCAGGTGACAAGAAGAGAGCGAAATGCTACATAAAATATAGAATTGGAAACCTCTCATTACCGGGGAGTCTTATTTTGATGAGCAGAGTAAGAGTGGCTCTCTGGTTTCACTTGGTGATGAATTTTACACTATATACACGTGTTAATACCCGTGATTTATATGAATATTTAAACAAATAAACATTCACTGTATAAATCCTTGGCATTTACGTGTAGAGTATCCTTGTCAGCAGTATTAGAATGGCTATCTGATTAGAGAAGATAGTCACGATGAGGCTTCTGGTTTTTGCAATTGCTGAGTTTTAGATTTTTAAACGCATTGCTTCACAGAAATTCCTTTACAGTTCTTGCACTTTTATGACTTTTGACCATAAAAATGAGCATGGACGTATAGCTTCTTGGAATTTTTATTCTTTTGGTGTCACCTGGCATCCAAAATGCAAACGAATTCCTTTAGATACTAGCATTACGAAAACATTTCCCTGACATCGATTTAAGTACATTTGATGAAAAGAACAAATTTGGTTTATTTGCGACTGTCCAGCGTCTCAGTGGTCCTATGCCATTAATTGCCCAATATCTTGTGGTCCGGCGTTACCTCACCAAGAGACTACGGGATAATATTCACAGAGGCGAAGGACACCAATTTGTCTTTTGTTGTTGCTTTTGATTACAAGAACAACTTCACTGTATTTAAAATAGTTCTGCAAGACTAGTAGGTAACACCGCGAAATCGCAGAAACCGTTTTGAAAATGAGTGCTTCGCTATGACAATCACCTTGCGTTGGGTCATCATTCCATGAAATGAGCTTATCTCCCAACAATCAGAACGCACTTCTTTATAATCTCCAAGATAAATTACCAAATTGAGAAAAGGGATAGGTATACCTCAAAAAATTAGTTGTCAATAACAAGAGAGGGTGGTGTATAATCTGGAATAATTGCACAACGGTTGCACAATCGTTTTATAATACTGGGCAAATTTTCATCAGATATCCAGGCTATAGAGTGAGAATTTCATCGATTAATTCGAGTCTCTTTTCTACATTTAAAACAATGGAACACCCTTAGAAATAGATCACAAGAGAGAATCATACCCGGATTATTAAGAGGATCTATTTAATCATCTGAGTTGCTGGCAAGGAAATGTAGCCGGTTAGTTAAGGTGTGAAGCATTCTTAAGCTATCTTACTTTCTTTTAATTGTCGGGAACACATAAGAGCAACAATGATTATGCCATGATACCATCCCCACAATTTCTCAGCTGTGGGATCTATCTAATTACATTTAACGCTGAAAATCAAATTTAATTGGCTAAAGGAATCCCAATAATGCATCCTTGAGCCAAATTTCACTGGAATTATCCATACCAGTTGCCACCACAGAGTGTTTCTAGTGTTCTTCATTAGGAAACTCTTTGATCTCATTGTCTTTACAAGGGATTATGCCTTGATTTTTATAGGCTAACACAACAGAACTCGAGGCTGTAAAAAACGTAAAAGTTTATATCCCGGTAGTTACGTTTTTCCACGGTGTTTACCTACTTTCTTGTCCTTCATATGAATTCCTCAACTAACTTTTACTCGAGTTTTTATTTAGAACAAGCATCGCTGCTGGCGTTTTGGGATTGATTTCAAACCACATAGGTCTTAAGAGCCTATGTTTGGGACACGAGGACAAACAACAGATTTATAACTATTGCCTTTTATGTCAGTGTGTTTTGATTTAGCATCCTGAGTATCCAATGGAAACGCTTGCTTTTACCCACAACCAGTATATCTCATCAAGTCTGGATTATTCTCTACATCGAGTTTAAATTCGGCGTCCATCTCAGGACTTTGCTCATCCCAAAGATTCGTTCTCTTGGGAGATTCATTCGCTTTAAATCATAAAGTGTGAAGCATTCACTTCAACTCGGGAAGGATTCTACACCTGTATCAGGTACTCACAAACGGCTGCTGGTATCAGAGCAGGTACGTGTAAATTGCATGCATCTACATCGAAGTCATTCCAATGTTTATATCATAGGAGCATACATTAATACTAAACTCAAAACTTTTGCACAATCTCTCGTTTTGTTGAGAAAAGCTTGACCCGTATGAAATAGGACACATATATCATCGGATGAAAGAAATCTAAGATAAGAATAGCATTATGATTTTGACTTTGACGAAGCTAATTCATACTTATTACCACGCGCAGTGATCAGTTTGGAGGTGGCTGTAAGGTGCTGATTGAATTTATATGGCTACTGTATTTAGAAGGCAAATCTGATTTTAGTCAGACAGTGCAAAGGATTTACCCGTTTGATTTGAACGACTGTATCTGACTTGAAGTTTTCTTTTAAAGTAGTCTTTAACCATTTTAAGGATAAAATTACCGAAAAAAAACGTTCATTAGTTTACAGTGTTTTGATTGTCAGCGTCTGGCCTATATCTGATAGCTCGTAGAAAATAAATTATAAAATGATTTCGAAATTTTTTTCTATGAAGCAGCAAAAAAATACTATCGCAACGAGGCGCGCTGAATAGTTGGAAAAGGTAACAAAGACTTAAAAGTCGGAAAAACCCATGGACCGAAATGAAACAGTCGTTGCCACAAACGTTGCTAGGCTGGCCAAGTAGCAAGGATTAGGTTGATTTAATGTATTAAAAATTAAGGTGTTCTACAGTCTCCTCCAAATCATGGTCCATTACAAAGTGATGACAACGGTCGCCAATCATCAGTTACTCTTTACTAAAAAAATTATTTTCGCCCAAAAGGCGAAATAAAACGGTGTTGTTGAACGTGTGGTTTACATAAAGAGTGAACGGAATGACGATTCCAAACCATCTGAAGGTGTTTCGTTTGTTTGGAGCCACCACTTTTGCTTAATTTGTGCACGATTTAAGAGTCACTACCCCATAATCTTCCACAATGAATCGTTTAAAGCTTTAGTTTCACATGAAAAGTGGAAGTTATGATAGTACTTTGGAATCGCTGGAGGTGGCTAACATGATTCCAAATTAGTTACAGAGGTTTCCTTTTATTTATTTTTTTTTAACATGGAGGTCAAACCATTTTCTTGACTTGTTATTTTGCGTTATTCAATTTCTGTTCAGCATACTTTTTCACCTAAACCTCGCAGAGCTTAGCAATGGACTCAGTTGAGCAGGAGCCGGAAGCGGCTTATAGCGGAGAGTTGGCGGCTGAGAGTTACCTGGACTTTGAAACAGAACTGCCCCTTGACTTTGACCCGACTTTCTATGAGAGTAACTATCAACAGCTTCTCAGGGATCGTGATGAGCTCCGTTTTCGATACGAGCGTGAAAAGAAAGACAGAGAATCTCTTGAGATCAAGTTACATCAAGAATTTGACCAAAAGATACATTTTGAAGAAAACTTGTCGGAAGTTTCTAGAAACCTGGCGAGTTACGAGGAGGAGCTTCGGTCACTGCGCCTTGAAAATAGCCACCTGAAAGCGCAGTTTAGCCAACTCAGGACGGCCATCCAGACAAGAGTGAATTTGGGGACCGCAGCAGCGACGCAAGGTGGATCAGAAGGGGCATCTTTGAGTACTAGCGGTGGCGTCTTTCTGTCCAGTTCCTCTGGTGAAGGTTCCTTCTCGGGGAGCACTGAGATGTACAAGCAAGAAGTGGCCTTACTGGCCCACGAAAACGAGCTTTTTAAGCAAATCATCGATGTAATAGACAAACAGGACTACAGCAAAGCTATACTTGAGGACAGAGTTTCTGAAAATAACAACCAGAAGCTTAGGTTGTTTGAGGAGGAAGTAATAAGGCTAGAAAGGGAAAAGTCGCTACTGGAAGATCGTGTGAGGGAACTGGAAAGATTCACTCAGGAACAGGAGCGTCGTCTAGAGGAAGCGAACAGCAAGGCCGAAAGTGATCTAAGGGTTTGCAAGAGAGAGAGTAAGGTGTTAGAAAATGAGCTTTACTCGAAGTCTGCTGTTCTGGAAGATTACGAATTTCAAATGTCACAGATGAAGCAGGCGTATGAAGAAGAAATTCATCAGGTTGAGATCAAGCTTGAAATAGAGATCAGCAACAATAAACAACTTCAAGAACAAACTCATCAATTGGAGGAGAATATCCGAAAAATCGAGGAAGAAAGAAAAGAAATTCTCCTAAAAATCGAAGAAGCGTATAAAACGGAAAACGATGTAATTGAGGAAAGAACCACCCTTGAGGAAACGTACTCACGAGATGTCAGTGAGTTGCGTAGAAATATTGAAGAGGAAATCCAAAAGAAAGCTGAGTTGTCAATGGAAATAGAACGGCTAATGGCAGAATTAATAGAATCTGACAGACAAAGAAAGGAAATGGAAGACAGATTTTTTCGTGAAGCTCAAGAACTTAAACTTCAGTTTGAGAGGGAAAGAGAAGAAATTATCTCCTACGTAAATGGATCAGCAGTCAATCAGTATATGATTCCGTCAAACTTGATGCAGCAAACGCACTCATCATCTCAACTTATTTCCGGTGGACAGGGACAACTCTCAACACAAGAAGATGGAAAACGGAAACTCGAAGAAGAAATTCGGAAGAAAGAGAGGCTCGAGGAAGAAAACAAGAAACTCCTGTATCAGATTAACGAACTGCTTGAGCAAAACGTTTCTGATGGAGGTTCCACAACTCGAGTAAAGGACAGCATGACTGCAACGTCTCAGTCGACGGGTAGCAAGCAAAATTTGAAAGAGCTGATGTACGAAATAAACGAACTGAGAGAAACCTGCCAAATATTGGAACGAGAAGCTAAGAAAAAGAAAGAAATAGAAAATAAAAACGTAGAACTGTCAGAGGAGATCGAAGAGCTAACGTCCAAGAAAGATGACATGATCCGTAAGCAGAGAGAATTAGTAAAGGAGCTGGACAATTCGTTGTCATCCGTGCAGCAAGTGGAAGATAAGAACAAACGACTGACAGAGGACGTAGAGAGTCTCTCAAGGAAAATCAGGGAAATGGAGGAAAATTTCAGAAATGAAAAGGAAGACTGGATGAGAAATTTCAGTAAGGACAAGACGTCTCAAATTAACGACATCTTGAGTGAAAAGGAAGCACTCGAGAAAAAGTACAACGAGCAGGTGAAAGTTAGCAGAAACATGGAGGCCGAGATCAATTCCCTAGAGACGAGAATTTATGACTTGGAAAGGTTAAACGAACGTCTAGAGAGGAAGAAGAGTGAAATAACGGCTCAGCTAACAGAGGAAATCAATTTTGAGAGGAACAGAGCTAAAACTGTTAAAGAGGAGCTTGAGAAGAGCGTTGAGGTATTTAAGAAGCAGACGGAGCAACTGGAAAGCACTTTGTACGACAGGAAGAAGAAGTATGACGAGGAGATTAGGACCTTGGAAGAAGAGAAACAGCGAGTCCGAAACGAGTTTGACAACGAAAAGGAGATATACAGGCGGCGTTTTGAGGAGGAGAGAAAAACAATGGAACGACGAATAAATGAAATAGAGGAGAGATTGAGGAAACAAAACACGTCCAGTAGCGAATTTGTATCAAATCAGATTGCTTTGACTTCTGACGAGTTTCCTGCGAGTAACACTATTAATCAACCAGGAGTAAGTACGGCTTCTCAGAAAACAATAATCGAGCTAAAGAGTAAGATAGATACTCTTATATCTGAGAAAAAAGAATTGCAAGAGAATCTTTATGATGCAGAGAGAAAGTACAGCCGAAAATTTGATGATATGGAGTACGATAGTGATCAGAAGATTAAGAAATTGAGAAGTGAGATTGAGGAAGAGTATAGACGAAAAATAGATGACTACGAAAGACAAATCGACAACCTGAGGAAGACCGACTCGTGTCAAAGGGATTCAAAAGATATATATCAAGATGGAGTTGGAAGTATGGCTGAACTGGTGAGAGATCACAAAGAGCAGATGGACGAGTTGAGAAGACAAATCAAGCTTCAATTGGAAGCGTTTGAAAGTGAGAAACAAACCCTTAAGAAGGAGCTGCAAAACACTACACGAATAAAGGATGGTGAGCACAGATGTCTTCAAAACACCGTGCAAAAATTGACTGAGGAAGTGAAGAAGCTGAGGCACGAAAAAGAGACCCTACTGAGCAAAATTAGAAAGGGGAAAGGAAACAACAACAGCCGAATCAAAGAACTGTCAGAGGCCGTGACGAAAGTTCGTGAAGAGTGCGATATAAGACTTCAAAAAGAGAGAGAAGGTACCCAGAAGTCCATGAACGAGCTTAGAAGGAAGCTCTCTGTTTCTGAAAGCAATAGACGAAGCCTCGAGGAAAAGCATCGGAGAGACCTTCATCAACTGGAGATTAAATTCGAATATAAGAAATCAGAGTTGGAACAAGATACGACGAGCATAGAGAGTCAGTTAAGGGAAAGTCTCCAGCTGGAATATCGAGTTGCTCTCAACAAAGAAAGGGAGAAATACGAGGAGACTTTGCGCGTATTGAGAAAAGAGATTACGTCTCTGCAGGAGCAGCGAAAGCAAATTCAGCTTAAGCTTTCTGATCAGGGAATACAAAGCACCTATAGCCTACTCCTCAACAAAGACTTTTCTGCGAATAAGGAGTCTTTTCTCAAAACTGAGCTGGACATGGAAATGAGAGCCTCACGTGGAAAGATGGAAGTCACAATACATGATCTCGAGCGAGAGATAGAATTCTTGCGAAAAGAGAAATATGATATAAAAGCGAATTACAAGCAAGAAAGAGCCCAAATGCAAGAGGAGTTTGATAGAGAAAGGGATCGTCTGGAGGAGAAATACAAAAGACAAATTGAAGATCTTAAAAGAAAACTACAGGCAACTGCTGCTCAGATGAAATCAACGACGCTAATGGACTCAAAATTGGTGAGTTAAGCATTAATTTATGTCTACGCGTACTATTCTTTCAAGTCTGAGAGGAACAATTAAACAGTTAGTCGTCCTCTCTCAACAAGTGCACTTAATCTCTAGTACTCATTCATGTTTTGAAAACCTTTTTTCATTATGTCTTCTATAATTGGAAAAGCTTTCCTCTGAGATCTCAAAATACAAATATAATTATGTATTTAATTCCAGAGCAACGGATTCGCGAATCTCAGATTTTACCGGCTCCTCCCTTTGAGTTCAACCATCTTACTACTTGTTAATGTTAAACAGCTAGACCAGGAGGATCCTCCCAAACAGCTTAACTCTTTTGGAAGCTTCAGTTAACATTGTGACTATTTTTCTAAAAAAGTTTCCGAAATTTATCCTTTATTTTGATTCCTTTCTCAGCGATACTCCGCCAGTGTAACTGAATCTCTAAAAGACAAGAACTTGACCTTAGAAGCGAAGAGGAGTTCATTAGAGAGCCAGATGAATTTTCTTAAGGGGAGAATGGACGACATTGAAGAACGTCAAGCGCGAGCTCTCCGATCAAAATCCAAGAAGGTTAGTGTTACGAATTTTTAGTGTTTGGCTGCCTTACCCTCCCTTTTGTCTTCAACCAAAATCTTCTCTCTTTACGATTAGTGCTGCTCATGAAATGTTCCAATTTTCTGGCTTCCGTCACTGCTGTAAGCAGCCTGCCAGGCTTACTGAGTAAGTAATTAATTTAATTGCCGTTCTGTCCTTCTCCAGGCCACTAATGTAAGGTTTTCCCCAAGTCTGGAGAGAAGCCGCGATCTTGGTCGTCACTCTGGAAGGCTCTCATCATCAATGTTAGACCTAAGCTCGAGTTCTCTACAACGAAGGGAAAAATCTGGAACTCCCAGAATTGCCTCCAGATTGCAAAAACTAGCAAGTTCGAGTCGAGAGGCTAAAGATAGCAGGTCTTTTTTAAGCCAATCACTTCATGATGTGCGATCTGTAGGGCAGGGTTCCAATACAAGAAATGATCAGTACCTAACCAGTCGTGGTTATGACATCGGAGGTTCTTCTTCCACAGCATCAGCTCTTCAGAGTGGTCTTACGTCCTGCGCACCTGCTCCTTTTTTTCATGCGAGGTCGTTAAGTGGTGGGTTTGACGCTACACGTAGCAGCACCCTTTTACAGCCAGGAGGTTCTTTTCGCAGTGACCAGTTATTTCTACCGTCCGTTGGAATCTTAGGTGGCCTCTCCCAAGCAAGAGAATTCGGCGCACTCAGGGGATCAACGTTTGGTGGCTTTGGCGGTGTGAGTGGATTGAATTCAAGATTTGGTTTTCAACGGGTTATGTCAGGGCCATCTATATATGGCCTAGGTATAGCATCCGGTTTTAATGGCGGCTTGCATCATTCCGCCAGTCTTGGCAACCTTCATCAACAGTTCTCATCACAAGCTGCAGAAGTTTCCCCGCGACAAGCGTCCAAGGAGATTAGTGGTAAACTTGACGATGAAAAGGCGTCTGATGACACTCCGCGTCAAGTTATATCTTCTGCGGGAGCCGAGGTTTGTGAAGAAAGAAATACCTCTCATTCAGCAGGTGTTCCCGAAAATGACTCAGGCAATGGCCACTCGCAGGAAATCCCATGCGTAATTGAATCAGCTGAAGGTGAATCAACCGCTCTTCCTGAGAAGGACCAGCCACAGGAAATTCCGTGTGTAATTCAACCAGCTGAAAACCAAGAAGGTTCCCAAGAAGAAGTGATCGGGTCGCCAATTCCACATGCTGAAGAAAATTCTCCAGAAACCTAGGTAATGAAATCTGCTATCGGAGCAGTCAGTGTGAGCCTAATTCAACAGTTTAAAGAACCTTAAGAGGTGATGAGTACAATCAAGATCAACAAAATTCTTTAATAAGATATGTGATTACTTCTGTCAGTACTAGAGAGACTGTGGTGATTCGCGAAATCATTAAAGGACGACTATTATTTTAATGTTAGTTCAGCCTTACTGTAATCAGTAAGCCGATCAAAACCGGAAGATTCTTCATCAGAGAGAGATCAATCTTCCACTTCTTTCTAGTTTGAGGGTAATGTTGTTAAACATAGTTTTTTTTTGCCAAAAGAATAGCACTTTCTTTCACTTTTTTTTTTGAGATAATGTTTCACAATGCAATCCCCAAACTTCTTAAATTTTTTAAGCTAGAATTTAATCCAAGTTAAAACTTTTGTATGTACTTGAAGAATCACACGATTCGAAAAAATATTTTTGATGCAAGAGATCCGTTCTGCTAAATTTGAACAATAATGATATAATGCTTTTTTCCAAGAAATTCAAGGATCATATTAACTCGAATTTTAAGTATTATAAGTCTTCACGCATTTAATAGATTGTACTGTCTTGAAGGTTTTCTAATTGAGCATTGGGATTTACTAGATTGGGGAAATGTTTCCTCTTTGTCTTTTCCTGTTTAATCATCTGTGTATGGTACCAGGACAATATTTGCTAACATGGATGGCTTGTTGAGGAAACCGAAGACACGTATAGGGGGCAAAGGGTAGATTATTTCACTTGTAAGAAGGTTTTGTGACTTGGTTTTAACCAGGCTTAAGTCAATATCTCAACTTATCCTTGTTGATGCTAAAATAGCATTTCGTGTTACGTTTCGTAACAAGTGAAGGTGGCGTAAAATGAATTTCACACTATAATTACCAGGTAAAATAGACGATAGTGTTAGAAATAAGGGTATTACAACTTTCAAATGGTATTTTTCAGCAAGTAAAGGCGTGTAATGAATTTCACGCCATAACTACTAGGTAAATTGGAATTAGTTTTAGAAATGAGAGTGTTGAAATTTCAAATGGTGTTTTTCATACTATTATTACGGGGCCGGTAATTCGTTTATTAGTTTTCGAAATAAGGGTCTTGAAAATTTAATTTAAAATGATATTTTTCTTCAAGTAAAGGCATGTAAGAAATTTCACACTATTATTACTGGGTTGTTTGGGTAGTGGTTTTCGAAAAAAGAGTTTATCTGAAGCTATGAAATGAATGCCACGCATTATAATTACTGGGTAATTTTTGCGACAGTTCCAGAAGGATAAGTTATAATTTTGCTCTTAACGACACATCTTAACGATGCTTGTTGGCAAATAAAAACTAAAGTTTCTTCTTTGTTGAAAGATAGAGTAATGTCTCCCTAGACCTGTAACCAGTCAAACTGTTTCTTTTTGTTGCCGTTCTCAAGCCTTACTCTGTAATTCTGTATTTTTGAAACATTTAAGACCGAGATTTTATTCTGAGTTTGTAATCTACGTTCCATGAAAATTCAAAGACCTTTTCCTTTCGTGAAACGTCCTATTAGCAACTGTGTTTTAAAAGATCCCCATGAATTCTCAAAGAGTTGCCAAGATCGATAACTTGATCACCCGCAAAAGTTTACCCTGCAACGCGCCATGCAATTTGCATAATAAGTTCTTTAGCACTCAAAGCGGACTGAGAAAATTGTGGTAGACTCAAAAAAACGTTTACCTGAAATAAAAATTCTGACTGTTCCTTAATTTACGTCTCCGTCGATATTCGAGGAGCCAGCTTAGGAGCTTAAATGATTATGTAGTTTCACTAGGATCATTTTAAAGCGATCAATGGTCGTAAAGTGCCCTTACAGATGCATATATATATATATATATATATATATATATATATATATATATATATATAGACATTTAATTTTCTACTTCTTTTTACAAACTTCATCTCAGCAATCCTTGCGCTTACTGAATTCGCAACCTAGGCCAAGAAGAGTGTTGGGTCTCTGACATAGAACCCAATCTTGGCTCTAAATAGCCAAGATTTCTGCTTGAGGTAGTTAGGTTACCTCCAGGGGATTAGATCAGTGACGTTTTACAGCTTTTCCACATCTGCTGCCTTTCCAGTTAATAATGGTATAAGAAGTGTCTCAATAAAACTTGGTAGGTAGTTACTGTTTTAATTAATAAAGAAAATGAAGTTGATACGTAAATCAGGATAGCTTTATGTCACACTAATAATCTCCTCTGATATAGTTATTGTATTTCATAAATTACGCTCGTTACAGATTAATATATATTATTTTGGCAAATCAGCGACGTGGCTAGTGGCGTATCTTTACAACATGACTGACTGCTATTATAGCACTTGTCGCTACTTCTCACCGTAAGGGAGTGAACAGCGAACCCAACGAGATGCTTATAGTCGCAAGATCACTATACATTATAGTGAGATTATTTTCGTTAACTATACCATTCCGTCTCCTAGTTATCATACACGGCACTCAGTGAAGTACTATTTACAAATGCGCAGAAATCTGTTACTAAAATCTCGTCGTTACAATCGTGTGATCGTGAATATAGACCGGTTTTCACACAGACTATTCCATTTTATTGGTCCTCTTGACTACTTTAGTTTGTGTTCTACCACACTTAACTGTAAGAAACCGCAGTACTTGGGCTTCAAATTAACTCTGATGGCCAATGAAACGTCACCTCGCCTTTCGTGTTCGCAGTTTTCACCTGCGCCCAAGTTAAGAATCTGTAGGAGTCGTCGTTGGTCTGGCATTTGCCATCTTTAGCACCATTTCCTTTGTAGATTTCTTCTATTTGCTCCTTACTTAGAAACGTCTTCCACATCTGAAAACAAGTAATTCGTCCAGAAAATGGATTCTCTAAGTTTACGTTTTCACTTTGCTGCCCAATCAGGATGTTTCCGCTTTCAATAGTCTTGCCCTCAAACTTTCCAAGCCCCAACTCTGAAAAACTGTTGACCACGAAAACGTAATTTCCGTCCTTACTTCTCCATGCAAAAGCGACAAAATGCCAGCGGGATGAATCCAGTCCAATATATTTCGAACCTAACCTGCAGATGATATTTTGGAAAAAAAATAAGGTGAAATTATTTCTTCTTCAAAATCATACAATTGATACCATTTTTCTCATAGTTAGATCTTCCTTAGTTTCGGTAAATTCATACTGCCGATCTCGTGGCTGGATCTTTCAAGAGATGCTATTTAACTTTTCGAGGTGGCAGCGAATGATGCTTTATCGACAATCCCGGGCAGAAGTCGTCATCAGGGGTATTAGAGTTAAGAATAGCAACATCTCTTCATTTAAAGGGTCGCCTGCCCGAGAATGACGTTTCTCTCTATTTAGTGAATTTCAATCAGTCAACATTGTCCATCTGTTTTTGTTAACATGTGAAATGAAACGAATCCTCCTTGTGATTGTCTTTGATGAACAGGAGAAATGATTCCTTTTTCCTGCTCGGGATTGACTGGAGGGGAAAAGTGCAGGTAGCCAGCTTACATACTTTGTTCTCAAGTTCTGTGTCTACATCTCCCTGTCTTACACAAACTCGGGAAAGAGCAAAGGGCGGAGAGATTAATTTTCATCAATGTGTCCAGCACTGAAATCTTTCGCCACAAGAAAATTCCTTCATTGATCAAATTTATTCTCCCGGTATGATAGGACGTTGGTGTCGTTCTTTGATTTCGTCGTTATGCATAAAAACACTTCAAAATATGACCGGTATAACGCGTGCGCTTACTTGAATGTTGTCTGACTATGTAGAAATTAGGGAACGTTTCGATTGGGCAAGCAGACATTTTGGAGGTTTGATCCCATCCTATATTTCATAATATCATAATAATACAAATCGTAAATATTTATGTGAGTGTCTGATTATTAGCAATAGCTATATTTGCAACAGGAAAGAAGCCTTTCTCAAGCGCTAAATTGGTAATTATGTTACGGAAGAAGATGCAAGCATACGAAGGGGCCATGTGTCGGGTCGCCGCAGTCCTTATCGCGCCCAGTTTACATACTAAACGCCTGGAACGGGCATGTAACAAACACCCCTCTAAATTTACGTACAAATTGGGTTAGAAAAAGATAACTTACTCATAATTTTTCATGATAATACTCAGCTTGCATTCTTGGATTGCCGTGATTCCTTCCAGTTTGAACGAAATCTCGCTATCATAATCGGTAGTGGAATAAACAAAACTGGTGTGTTTTGAATCACATTTGTCATTCTTCAACCACATGCTCACGGTCAGGGAAGAAAGTTGAAGACCTGTTATCGTCTCTTTCATCACGTAACTCCCAGTTGATTCAGGAGCGAACTGTACATCGAAATCCTCCTCCGACACTGAAATTCGAAAAATAAAAATTGGAAGCACTTTTTTTGGAGAGCCAGTTATTCCTAAGTGATAGTTGTATAATCAAATGCTAGTTACAGATGCAGCAATCCATCAACAAACATTAGCAGTCATATATTCTAGTTACATCGTTCAACAGATTCGTTTGGTTGTTTTTTTTTTATTCTTATTAGCATGTACGTTGACTATTTTAGGGACTTGATCATAGATTTCGTGCTCTAGTGTAAAGGTAGGGTAATTTGGTATCATCAACTGAGTTGATATCGTTAATTGACCACCATAAAGAGTTTAAAAGCTGACGTTTCAAGCGTTAACCCTTCGTCAGAGCGAAGGAGGAATTGCTGCTTGTGTAAGCAAAGGTCGGTATAAAAGGGTATAGGTTCGAACCCCGCTTCCCCTCCCCCCCAATCCCCCTGTAGGATTTCAATAAAAATATCAGCCGATGTAAGAAAATATGACGGGTGTTTTCTAACCAACATTCGGCTGTGTAACTGAGGATGGAACTTCCTGGCGCACGTTGCCAACCGCTATCCCGCTCTTCACCTCATTCCAGTTAAGCAATGGATTAGAGTATTTTTCGCATCTTTTCTTTTGAGATAACGCTTTGATGATAGTATCCGTAAGGGAAAAGGACCACATTTGTAAGCATGTCATTCTTCCCACAAACGGATTTTCCATGTGAGCTGCAGTCTTTTTTCCACCAATGACTAACAAACCGCCGGCTGGAATCGAGAGATAAGACAAATGGACTCCTTGCCCCGCCAATATTCCGCTGACCGCTTCTGTGCCGTTAATGAAGAATGAGTAGGCTCCTGGAATGTTCTTCCATACCAGACATAAATGATTCCAAACGCCGTTTTTAGGAGAGAACATGGAATACGCTGTACGTCCTCTGAAATATAAGCAGACGATCGAGAGGTTTGAAAGGGGTCGCCCCAGATCCCTTGCAGACCTATCAACAGCTCGCTGTACCCAAGGCCCTGACCTCTTAACTCCTGAGTGACCAAGACAGAATTTTTCCTTATTTACTGTGCTTCAGTCTCTCACCCCAACCCTAAAACCCTTTTTGGTTAAATGAAAAAAAAGCGAATGTGTTAAGAGCTACGAAAAGAAAGACTAACTGTTCAGTTAATTCCATTGCCCAACTCCTTCCTCCACCCCTCCCCCCACCTTTCGCCTTTAACAACGTTTCCCCTTTTCACAAACTGAGAGCAAAACCATGGGAAGATAACCCAGGTTTTGCGACCTACACAACTCCGTTAATTGTTGCAGTCAACCGCAATATTCCAGATGATTCTCCAATGTCCATAACAAATGCAGAACTGTCGGTTGGCGTAGTATAACTGAGGAAAGACATTTGGCCGGATTGATGATCTGTGATAGAATTCTCCCACAAGCACACGGTCAAAGATGTTAGCGCAGTGATTTGGAAGGACTCCATGGAAATGTAGCTGCCTTGCTCAAAATGGACATCAAAGTCTGCAATGCAAAAGAAGCTGATGAATTTAATGAATTTCAATGTGATCTTTTACAAAGTAAAAATAAAAACCGTAAGAAAAATATCACCTTGATAACCGTCACTATAGGAAAAATGGATTGCAAAAATTCGAAACATTGAAAATTAATGAAGTGTTGACATCGAGAAGAATCTCCCAAGCGTACAGACGTGTGGATTGTTACACTGACGCATTTTAATTGTTCAACTGCATGAATTAGAGTACAAATAACGCCCGAATAGAGTACAAATATCCTGCGATATTAGACAATTGGTTATTTTGTACTGTAAAAGAACCTGTTTAACCGGTCGGCTGCGCTTGCTTGCTTCACTGTCTGAGTTGCTCTCGCCCCTTTTTTTAAGAAATGCACATGAAATAAAGTATTTGGATAGTAAATAACTTATAGGACGGTTTGGACTCATTGTTTTATTTCGACTCGCCTTGTGGTCAAGTAAAAATACGATACAACTTGTAAAAATACTCAGCGATACTATACACCAAACTTCTAATAAGATAGATAGGTGTTCACGTAAAGTGGCCCTACCAGCCTTGTCAGTATTTCTAAGGAACAATAACATCTTAACTCTGCCATTTAAACATAATTTCTATGGTCATACCATTCATCAAACCAATTCGATAAGCCGGAAACCACTCTGCTTCGCGTCGTGGTTTCCTACGCTCGTGTTCTCCCAACCTCCCGCGTGTTTACATCAGGCTATGTAAACACGGAACCCATCTTACATTTATTCAATTTGCCACCTGATAATGATAAATCGCCAGTTCCTAATGCAAGAAACTTTTTTTTTTATTAATTATTCGTGACTTTTTGTAGTAATGAGATAATTCATACCCAAATCCTCTTTTAAGAGAGATGACGAATTTGTCCATAAAGCACCGCCTCGGAGTTCAGCTCTTTTAAACAATGGCCAAATGAAGGGGGTAGAACTGTTGTTGCTACATTTCTTGTCCTCAAATGCTCTTCTCACTTCTTCGTCTTCAATAACACTCGGCCACATTCTCAAGCATGTTAAATAACTTCTGGAAGAAGTGCTACCCTGTTTATCAAGAATGACAAGAGCATCCCGCGAGAAAGTGAACCCGATGAGTCTTCCATAACTACGAATGTTCCTTGTGCCATCGATAAATATTTCTGCAATACCAGCTTTGTTCTCCCACCCTGCGCATATGTGATGCCACGATGTGTCTTTCAAAATTTTGGTTCTGATTTGGAGGAGACTGTAAAGGGATAAGATTGTTCATGAATTGAGTTTGATAGATCAAATGAGTAACTGAATTTATTAAATAACCGAGATACTGCACGCAGTCAAAAACCAAGTTGAATGGGCTCGTGCAATTTTGTTAATCTGAAAAAAATTCATCGTGCTTATACCAAATTAAAAGAGCAATATGAATACCTATGAAAAATTAAACTGAGTAAACTGAGTATACAAAAATCATATCTCTAAAATGCGGATTAAGAAATGAATTTAAAAGCGATCTTCGCAGTAATGAACACTACTTAAGCAATACTGAAAATAAGGCCTGAAAAAAATTTCAGGCTCGTACGGGATTTATACCCATGACCTCTACGACACCGGTGCAGTGTTCTAACAACTGAGCCAACAAGCCAACTGAAAGCTGACCTTTATGTTGGTTGGTAATAAACCCGAGAAGTAATGAATAAATTACTGTAAATACAAGAAAATCACAAATGGGAACTGCGGATCAAGAGATGAATATGGAAACGATCTTTGCAGTAATGAACACTTCTTAAGTACTAATGAGAAGAAGGCCTGAAAAAAAATTCAGGTCATTTTGTTAAGCTTTGCATGTAGTTAAGATTAGTTCATGTTGTTTCATGTCAAGGGATGTCTTTATTATTTTTTTATTTCGTAGGTAGGTCATTTACAATAGGTATCAGGCTTGAAAGCTTCCTTTTCAACAGCAAGAATTTGAGGCAATTTTTTAGCGGTAATTTTTTTTAGTAATGTTTATTGGAGAATCCAGGACTTAAGAACTGAATGATATACTACTGATTTCAAGGTTAGTCTTTCTGGCTTCGATAATGAGGTAATGATTATTTAGGCCCAAAATGTAGAGACCAAAAAAATCATGAGTTTTAGAGTACCTCTCATTTGCGTATCCTTTGAAGCTTAACCTTCCAGTGGCTTCTTTGTATTTTAGCTTAAAGAGAAGTTCTTCATTCGAATAGAATGCAAGCAAAGAATAAACAGAGCTGGTATCCATGAAAACCTTGAACCAAAAACAGGCAGTGAAAGCGTCCCAACGCTTTTCAGGGGAAAAACCCGAGGTCGCAAAATTAAATGAAGCAAAATCACTATTGCTTATTCCATGATTAACCTCTAGGTCGAAATCTCCTGCATCATCTGTAAACAAAAGATGGAGAGTTAACATTTTTAGTTCATTGTTGATATCGTGGGATTCATCGTGGCCTCGTATCATCGCATTGGATTCAGCCCGTGAACTCTGATCAAAAGTGCTGACCAGGTTAACACGTATCTCGACGTATCATGTTCTTGGATAGCGCGCGTAACTGTCACAAAGTTTCATTATAACATAAATGGGTTCAGGAAACTCTCTAGCTAACCTTATAAAGAGGGTTCAACACGCGCGCATACAACCACATTATGACAGTTGTCTCTCTTGCCGCTGTCTCTTTGATTTATCCCTTTATCTGTTAAATGCCAGATTGATTCGCCCCATTCAACAGACTTTTTAAAAATATTTACTTACCTATCCAATATTCACAGTGTTCCCCAGTGTTTTCAGTGTAGCACACGCACTTGTAGCCATTGCAGGGGTCTGTCAAAACGCAACTGCCACCGTTTAAACACGGTGAAGATTCACACGCATCCCCATCCTATCAAAGCAAATACAAAAGCAACACAACGGACACAACAATCAATGACACTTCACAAAATGGTACAGAGGAGAAAATCTCTAGATACTGAGTCCCTTCTACACCCGCTATCTTAAGGTAATCCCTCTTAACTTATGTTTTGGATTACTCCCCTATTCGGAAATCCTAAGGGTTTCAGAAGTAGTAAGTATTCAGGCTCGTATCGCGAAATTTGTCCGTGAGGAAAGCCCGTAAGACGTCTATTCATTCTACATGAAAACATCAAAGCAACGCATAAGGCATGCAGCACGTTATTGCTGTCATACGTCTTACTGAGATTCTGTTGGTGTAGTCTTTATTATCGATGGAAAAAGAGCTTGGGTATCGATATTTAGATCTATTTTTTTTGGCGGAGAAAATCTGTCTGG